TATATATATATATATATATATATATATATATATATATATATAGGATGTTGCTATGATGTAGTGATCTTTTAGAGCTGCATGATTATTTGTTTGTTGTTATATGTTTTATATGTTGCATATGTCGACATAGTGCGGTTGGGTTGAGGCTTTACTGTTACGTGAGTAAGCCAACAGACTGGGGCATTCCAATCCGATGACTGATTGGGCCGAGGCAATCTAGTCCGATGACTGTGGATCCGAAGGTAATCCAGTCTGATGACTATGGACCCTGTATAGGGCAATCCAATCCGATGACTGTGGGCATGGGGTAATCCAGTCCGATGACTGTGGACCCAACATGCATGTTTGTATATGTTCTGTTGTGTGGGGTATTTTGGGGGAACTCACTAAGCTTTGACTTACAATTTGATTTTATGGTTTCAGCTACTTCAGAGGACAAGGGCAAGGCGAATGCTTAATCGTGCACATCATCCTGGACTTGTATATGATTTATGATTTTGGGATACTCTGATATATGATTGTGACTTTTGGAAACTTTTTTTTGTAAAACTTATGGATTTGAAATGATTATAAAAAACAAAAATTTTGCCTTGATTTTGGGATGTTACAATATTTGCATAAGAAATCGACATGCCTTGCATTCCCCATCATTGTTGCAAGTAATCGAATTTCTCACTTTCCCATGAGTTGCCTGAGAGTCGTCTTTTTCATTAAAACCGATGCAAAGAAGAAAATAACTTATAATTACCAATACCCAAGGAGCAAAGGTTTTGAATATCAATAAAGTTGACTCTTAGGTTTTGAAGGAACCCAAACATCTTCCTCAATTTTGATCTTCGATGTGCGACAAAAACATCCACCACTATTCCAAATTTTGCACACGTGTTCCACAAATCTTGCTTAGTTATATGTGAATATTTGATGGAAAGTTTGTAACATAAATAGTTTGTGAGAGATGGTGTATGTCATCATGGTAAGATCCATGAGACCCTAAATGATAAAAACATCATTCCTATTGATGTTTCTTTGTTTTCTTTTTCCCATATATTTCCATTGGTAACATCCCAAAATTCAAGCCCAAAAATTTCATTTCTAATAGAAGAAAACACTTAATAACTTTGTTCCAAACATTGAAAGCATTTCATTTAAAATAAATATCAGAGTCTAATCCCAAAGATCACATAATGCGGAATAATATGGGTGAATGCGATGCGATCGTCACGAGATCATTATCTGAAAACTGAAGGTACCTGAAACCAAAACTGTAAACCGTAAGCACGAAGCTTAATGATTTCCCTAAATACCACATACCATACATATCAACCGGGCCATACATGCCATACATACTGTGAGCCATACATA